TAATAATAATAATAGTAATAATAATAATAAGACCAAAAAAAATTGGGCTGGAGATTTAGTTCAGTGGTTCCGTCACCTACCTTGCAAGTTTAAGGACCCAAGTTCGATCCCCAGTACCAAAAAATTAAAAAATAAATGAAATAAAATAAAATTGTCCACTGGGGACTCTAAGATTTCAGGGGATACTTCCAGATCTGCCTTTAAAAAAAGTTAGGCATGTTTGCATTTTACTCCTTCTCTATAGCAGGGACAGAAAAGTGACATTTGAGTGCCCAGGGCTTACCTAGTAGGTTTATACATAAGTTAAGGATTCTGGGAACAAAGAAAAGAAGTACCCCCAAAAGGCACTTGGGGTATTCAGTGCTAAATTCTGCCTTAGATGGCCTGGGGAGGTAGCTCAGCGCAGAGTCTGCCTGGCAAGCATGTGGCCCTGAGTTTGATTCCCAGTACCCCCCAAAAAAATCTTAAATTCTGCCTTAGCGTTTGGACTTCTGAATCCCAGATTCTGTCCACTTAAACTCTGATAGGAAAGCCAACATCTGGAGTCCATCCTTTTGTGTTCTGTTCTCTTACGTTCAAAGAAAGGCACAAATACTGTCTTCCTTTTAAGAACTTCAACTCCAAAATCTTCCCAAATCTCTTTCCTCTTATCTGCTAAAAATATGCACTGGAAACCTACTTATATACAAGGTACAGTGCAGGACTATGAAATTACCTCCATTTGGCGAATCAAATGGAGCTGTCCTTGCACAGGTTTCTTAGCTAGAACTCAAAGGCCAGTAGCTTGAACAGACAAAAAGCATGAAAGAAGGAGCAGTTAGGCCCTCCTTCCAGGCTCTGCTCCAAAACTGTGGCCAGTAAGCCCATCCCATTCCAATTTTATGGCTCCAGGGGAAGTGGGCCAATCCTTTTATAGTTGTGTCAAATTTCTCTCTTGATTGGACCTGACCAAGAAATAAAAAATAAAGAAAGAAAAAAATGTTGGGGCCATCCCTGAAATTCAGAATGGTTATCTTTAAGAAGTAACCTTCTTAGCAAAGAACATAGCCACTATGGACTCCATTTCTTCTTTTTTCGGGAAACAAAGTAGGAGAGGTAGGGCTCACTCCCCATTTTTGCCCACAAAACAGCCAAACGAAGCGTCACAAAGAGCTGGGTGAGTTGAATTTTACCTGTGACAACTTTAGTAGATTATGGCTGGTGCCTTCAGTAGACATTGACTCTACGTGTTCCTTTAATCTAGGGTGAGGTGCCAACAGCTTCAGGATATCGGGAGAATGTTCCTGAGAATCCCCCGGGACTGATGGTGAAAAGAAACTAAGGAGAAGCTGTGACATAAAACAGAAGACTTCACTACTTAAGTTTCTACAGATACTCAGGTGAAGGGGTTAGGGTTAGGGGACAGGGGCACAGTTTGCAGGGCAAAACTGCAGGGAGGAAGACCTGGGCTCACCAGGTCTCTGGACACTTCAATACATATCAGAGTCATCTGAGGAGCTAAGGAAAGAACCAAATTTCTAGTCCCCACTTCTGTCACCCCCAGGTCTGAAGCATGATCCAGGAATCTGGAGTTTGAGAAGGTGCTACAGATGCCTCTGTTACCTATCTAAAGTTCAGAGCCACCCCTTGGTGCTATCATTTCACAATAATATTTCCAGTAGGATCTTAAAACCCATCTGGAAGGAAAGAGACAGATAAACCAGGAGATAAACCTCAGGTGGAAAACTTGGAGTCACATCAATAATGCCCCGGTAGGTAGAAGTCTACACATTTCCTAGGTTCCTCACAGCTCTTTTACTCTATTTTTCTTTTGTCTCCACCAACCTGACTATCACCCCTGAATTTTTTAGTGGTACTGAAGATTTAACCCATGGCCTTCACACTGAGCTACACCCTCAGCCTCCCTTTACCTTTTATTTTTGAGCTAGGGTCTCTGTAAATCACTAAGTTACCCTGGCTGGGCTCAAACTTGGGATCCTCCTGCCTCAGCCTCCCAGACTGCTGGGATTACAGGTATGTACTACCAAATATGGCTTACCCCTGGATCTTTCATCCCTTTGGAGCTGAGGACCTGAGCAGTGAAGTATTAGGAAAGGAGAACTCAAACTTCCTCCCTCTTTTTCTAGCCACTCCCCAGTTCTGGCACTCACTTTCCAGAAAAATCTCAGGTTAAATTCAAGTACCCAGGGGAGGCAGATGCCAGTCTATTTCTGGTTTTCCTTGTAATCAGAAACACTGGGAGGGTAGAGTGGGAAGAAACAGAAGAGACCAGGAGGCAAAGATATGCTTTGGAGTACAGGCAGTACCTTTAGCTATCACATTCTTGCTTCAATTCTTCCCGGTACCAGCAGGGATTTTATCTGTCAGTCTGTCTATCTCATAACACAAACAGACCAGGACATTGGACCTCTGAAACTTACTCAACTGATTACCACCTAGCAGGCTCTGCAGAATTTGGAACCCATGACCTTGTTTAGGCTATGGAGTCGTGATCGAGAGAACTTGTTAGAACCCCAAACTCCAGTTTGATTAATTCTCTTCCTGGCCAAGAGCAGTTTCTTCACAATGTTTCTTCAGATGCCTGAACTTAACATGAACTCAAACCCTGTTGAGCCTTCAAAGCTCACCTCAAGTGCTGCCTCCCCTTACTATTCTCATCTCTCTAATCTCTCCTGTCATGTCATGTTCTCTACTGCACCATTTAAAAGCAGTTTCGATTACACCTTCTTTTGCCATCTTGGCATTGTATCACAAATATGTCTTTCTCGCCAGACAGATGATGAGCTTCTGGACAGGACAAATGCTCAATATTCATCACACTGGATGGAACTGAATTAAGACACTTATCCACCTCAGAGCCTAAGGAGAAGCCTAGCATTCAGGCTCAAAGCCCACAGATTGGTCCCTATGTTTCCCTCCTGCTCTAGAGAACCGATTCCTCAGATATCAGTTGGCAAACAAGTGAGCTAGGAGTTACTCTTAGTGGCCAGAGCCATAGATGATACCTTTCAGAAGCCCCTCCTCCAAAGGAGCCAAGTTGGCCCTCAGCAGCTGTAAATGAGTAGCACTTCTCAGGAAGTCTCCTTAGAATTGTTACCCACAGAGCCTGACATTCTTCAGTGGCAGCCACACAGCCTCCCAAAGTGCAAGGATGAAAGGGCAGAGGGAGGTGGGAGGAAAAAGGAAGTCCAGGGAAGTGATGAAAGGAAACAAGAGAAACAACAGGCAACAGTTTCCTTTTTAGAAGTACTAAGATTTCTCTAGGCTTTCTCTATGGCTTTGGAAAACAAAAGTCAGGGTCAACTCTCAGGGAGAGGAATCATTCCACATGAATGAAAGTCAATTTCACTTCAGTTTTAGCTTTAAAAAAGGCCCAGTTGAGTTGAGAAGAAAAGAAAAAAAAAAACTAAAGGTAAAAAAAAAAACAAAAAAAACAAATCCCCCAAAGAAATACAGGGATGTGAGTTCTATGCCAGCTTTCCAATGCCAAGTGAATTTGGACCATTTTCATCAAATGTGTAGCCCTGAAACTGGAACAATCCAGGAAACAAGCACAGTGAGGGCCCGCAGTGTTCTTAAATGGCTGCTACAGACTTATCACTCCCTGGAAAATTGCCTCTCAGTTCTCTGCTAGCTTCAGAGCGCTATAACACCCATCACAGGCATATGCTCACTAGAATTGTCTGACGTTCATATTAACAAACACAACATCATAAGTTCCTTGAGGACCAGAGCTGTGGCTTATGCCTCATTGGGTCTCCAGAGTGTCCCACATCCTGCCTCTCACCCCATTGGGCAGATGTGGAAACAACAATAGCCAATCTATAAAAGCAAACTCGAGAAATAGGGGGTGGTCAGTCCAACTGATGATACCAAAACCCCTCAGGCCAACTGGGGTGTGAACAGAAAAAAAGAAACTATTCCTCTTGAGCCAAGACCTGCCTCTTTGAGCCTTTGCATACTCTGTCCCCAAAGAAAAGGCTGTGCTAATTGCCTTTGTCCATCCCAGAACTGGATAGTTCCATTGCTACTCTGACCCAGCCTCATCAGTCAGTGTCCAGACTCCAGACATATCCTCCCAGGACAGCAGGATGTTGGAGTAGCTAAGAGGATAGGCTTTGTCAGTAGACCAATTAGAGTTTTAATGTTTTCTGAACAATTACTAACTGCATGACCTTAGGAAAGTCACCACGTCTCAGCTTCCTCGTCCATCTCATCCTGAACATGGGGATAAATAATAAAAACAATACCTACCCTCACGGGGAAGTTGTAGGGATTACATTATATCTTCCACCTAAAGCACCTAGCACAGTGCCTGGAGCTTAGAAAATACTCGTGGAATGTTATTACTCACACCATAGACAACACTTAACATTTGTGACCAGTCCACAGCATGGAGCAATTCTCCATGACCCATTCTCCTCTCAAGAAAACCCTGCCTGGGGCTGGGGATGTAGCTCAATGGCACCACACCTGCTTAGCAAGTGTAAGGTCCTGAGTTCGATCCGTGGTACCCGGAAAAAAAAAAAAAGGAAGAAAACCCTGCACACATACCCAAACTAGGTCAGAGCAACTTCCCAGAGATAAAATTCTGCACTAGAGTCAGAAAAACCCAAAGCCCAGCTTTCACCAAGTTTATCAAGTTTGCAGAAGACTCCTTCACAGATCCTTCAGAAACTAGCCCCATCTCTTGCTCACTTTCTTCACACACTGCCCTACCAATCCATCCAGGGATGCAAGTGGTTGTGACTTGGTGGAGAGATGGCTGGACACTGGAGAGCAGAGACAATCACTGACTGTCAGCATTCAACTTCCAGGCCAATTAGCAAGACACCAGAAGAGTACATTGCAAAATGATAAACAGCAAACTCCATGAATTGAGGATGCTTAACCCTTCAGTCAAGCTCTCAGTAATGCAGGCAATTTTTTCATGACAACCACACTTTTCTGGGACCCAAGAGTTGGAATGACTATTTGGATTATATTAAAGGTCTCTGGCTTGCACTTGTGAAACAGCGTATTTAATTTCTAGCAAAGGAGCTTAAGTTTAGAGTTCTGTGTACAGGAAGGGAAGTAGCGGAAATCCATGTCCCTTTCTAGGAGCTGGCCACCCTGTGTGGCTGGTAAAACTGTCATTCAGCCAAAGAAAAGTTATACAAATGCAGGCAGTCCCAAACCCTAGATCTCTCATCAATAGCCAGAATCTGCTCAGCAAATCTCATTCCTCAGATTAATTTACTTGGTTTAGTTTGGTTTTATGAGCTTTTGACAATCTAGACTAGGAGTTGAAGAAACATTTCTTCCAGGCTCCTACCAAAATACAGAGATTGCCCAATCTGATCGTACACACCAGGAGGATAGTGTTTCTAGGCAATTAATAGGTACTCCTGTCTCCCTTCTGTCCCTTATCTCCTGAGAACCCCACATACCAGAGAGGGTAGCACCCTCATTCCCCTCCCTAGAGAAGACACAGAGGTGGGGATCCACTAGGCAGCTGGACCTGATGCAATTCCTACTCACCCTCTGGGCTTCAGATCTTGCTCTCTTGTTCTTTACATCAAGGGATACACAGTAGAGAAACTCTCTCAGGGCTTCCTCCACTTTGCCTAGGGTGGCTAAGGCTTGCGCTTTTCTGAAGTGTGCCTGGAAGAAAACACTAGCCTTCAGTCCCATCTTATTCACATTATTAATGCCGCTACTATTTATGATTACTGCTGAGTACTGTCTGAGCAATCACTATAATGCGAAATGTTTTAAAAGCACTCTTTCATCTACAGCCCTCTGATGTAGGCAACTATTCTGAGTCTCAATTTAAAGAAGACAAAACTGAGACCCACAAGTATACCTTGGCCCGAGAAAACACAGCTTGTAAATTGTGGTATCAGAGTTTGAACCTGGAACTTACTATACCAAAGCCCATATTATTAACCAACATGCCAAGGCCCATCTGGATATATTGCCTTCCTCTGAACTAGTCTGTCAAGCAGAGGCCTAGTCAACACAGCGGCTTGCTTGATCATTTCTCAGAGGAGAAGCAAAAAATGAGCATGACCTCTCCAAGACCTCAGAGGTTGCTAGTGGCAACGCTGGAACTAGAACTGTGGTCTCAGGACTCCCACAGTCCTCTTCCCCACAAAGTAGAGTGCCCCTCAAAGGGCTACTCACTGGCTGAGTGAATGCTTTTTGCTCACTTCTGTTGCCTCGCTACATCTTGTAAAAACATACAGCAGTTTGGGGGCTCTTCAGGGTTCAAGTCCAAGTGCCCTGGAAGAGGCTAGAGAGAGCAGAGCCACATTCTAGGGAAGAGGGAGGATGCAGAAACTTTAGGGGAGAGAGCTATCTTGTCTTTGTGCCTTGGGACAGTGCTGGGGAGGGCTGGGAACTGCCTTCTTGAGCAGCGGCCTGTGCTAAAGCCTCTTGGGGGACCTATCCCTAGGGTTCCACCTTCTGGAGCCTAATCCTGGCTGACAAGTGGATGCTGATGTCCTCTCTTGTTGCTCCTCCCAGTATTGCTTACAAGGGACTTCTGCAGAAAGGCTTCTGTGACACTGCAGGGTGAAAGGCATAAGTGTTGCAGGACCCAAAAGGCTTCGGAGATCCCACTAATCAACCAAGTGGCAACTCATATACTCCACCTGTGCAGAGCAGCCGCCGCAACCCACTGAGATCTGTACTACCTGCAAGGTGTGTTGGATACTCTGGGCCCTGGTTGGATGGCTGGAGTGGGGCTGGCAGGTGAACCTCTCCCCTGGGGCATTTCACATCCAAATGGTAGGATACATGCAAATTGGGATGTGAAATGCTTTTGACTTACATGTCAGTTACTTAAATCCCCAGGCTAACACAATACCCTCATCGCTGCCCACCCTCTTACCCCACAACTATGGGAAAAGGAAACTGCTGCCTAATTCTGGCACCAACTGTTCCTTCATCAAGGAAGTCACTCTTCCTGTTTAATCCAAACTCTGCTCCTCAGTCCTGCTTCCCACCATGATACCAAGGTCCTTGACCTTAGGCTTAGATGAGAGATGAAAAAGTTACTCTTATCCCTAGGAAGTTCCCAGAGTTACAGGACTGGAAGGACTCAACCCCACCATCACCACCACCAAGCTCCTTTCAGTGAAGACACTGGTGACTTGTATTAAACTGTAAATGTGCTCCTTCAGAAAGAGAATATTATTGATCCATCATTATTTGTGATAACTCTCATGAATGAACACATGAGATTCACCCTGACATTACTGGCAGAATATACTGGTCCACAATATTTTATCTGAAGTTCCCAGCTCCCCCCAAAATTCCGATAATCCAATATTTTCAAAGCTTGACCTCAAAATTCATTAGGTGACAAAACCTGACCTAAACAAAAGTATTTTAAAGTATTTGTCCTACTTAGTGTGAATTTTTACATAATTTGCTGCAGAGATAGTGTGCTTAATTAGTGTGACTGGGACACTGTCTAGAGCTCATTGAGGGTATTACCATATATATATGGTCTTCCCATAAGCAGAAACACTGTGGATTCTGAATACATCTGGTTCCATGAGATTCAGACAATGTATCAAGATAATGCATCAAGGCCCAGGACTTGGATAAAGTGGTTTTCCAGTCCTGGGGTTGTGTAGAGAAAGCACTGCATAAAACCCAGCAAGCTTTGTAGCTTGCAGAATGTTCTCTGCCCACACTCACCTCTGATCCTGACACATCCGTATGAGGCAATCAGGGTAGACAGCAGTAGCTCTGTTTTACAACTAACGACAACTGAGTTTCAGAGAGTAAAGACACTTCCCCCATGGTCACTTTGGCTTCAAGTAGTACAGCCCAGTCTCAAATTAAGGTAAAACAAAATATTGACATGTATCCTGAGGCCAGGCACAGATGTTGAAATCGACCTTTGTACCCCGGCATCCTGAGACATGTCAAGCCTGTCTTTCTTCCCATGTGACTTAGATGTCTAAGGACACCAGCATATCGACTTGATTATAGTAAGGACTCAGAATGGCACACTCATTGTGTGAGAATGGGGATTTCTCCAAAGAAAGCTGGCAAAGCTCCTAAGATAGATGCTACTAATTCAGAAGGGCCAGTCTAGGCATCCTTCTCTCATTCTCTTTCTGCTGTTCTTGAAAAATGATGGTGATAGGAAACACTTATATAATGCCATGTGTCAGGTACTGTTCTAAGTGTCTTCCCCAAATGAGCTCAAACCATCCTCATCACAACAGTAGGTGCTTTGAATATTCACATTTATAGATGAGATGAACCACAGAAAGGTTAAGTGATTTTCCCAAAGCTACACAGCTCGAAAAAGTAGCAGAAGTGAGACATCAACTCAAGCAGTCTGGCTCCCAATTCCATATTCTGAAGAGTCACAAAGTGCAGGGGGTTGCGCAGATCACCCCTTGAAGATAAAATTAGGGAACAATCTATTCCCTTGCAAATTTGACTCACCCTTTGCCAAGGGATGCCCCACACCCTGGCCCTTTTGAAAAGTCTTTTCTCTACTTAAATTCTAGTGTCTGTACACGCCATGGAAGTGGCCTTTCCTGCTACCTCCTATGTACAATACAACTCCTCCCCATGCCCCCTGTTCCATACTCACCTTAAAACCCATTGGGCGGAGTTTACATGCTATTTCTGCATCATGCAGTGCATCCTCATGAGATTCCAGGGTAAAATAAATTTGAGACCTGTTGCTATAAAGCAAGTGGTCATTTGGGGCTGTGGAAATGAGAAATAAAAGAGCTGTCATTAATGGTCCCTAGCACAAGCATATGGCTCAGTCCTGTACAAGGATGGATTCTGAGCAAATGACAAGTTATCTAGCATTTTTTTCTATGGAGTATCCAAAGGTTTAGACTCTATGTCCTGTTCTAATACAGTCCTGCCTTCCACACTGTCAGCCATTTCAGGTCAGATTCCCCAACTGCAAAGAAGTAAATCCCCCTTCCTCCTTTCAAGCTGTTCTTCAGAGGCGTTGTGGTGTCTGCGGTGCATCAGGAACTTTGGCTTAAAGGAAGCTCTAGCACCCTGCTTCTTGGCTACACACAGTTGGTGTCTGGCAGCCTGGCTTCTGAGGGACATATCACCAAGAGAATAAGCCAGTTAGGGAACAGAGGCAGGTAGCCAGATGTGACCCCTAGCCTGAGCCCCAGCAAGTCAAGACAATGTTACTCTTGTGGGTGAGATGACTGGTGACATTAGCAACCCCAGAACGTGTGAATCTTCCCTGAAGGATATGGAAATGCACTTACAAGGTCCTGTGCTCCCATGACAGGTGGCTAAATGTGAAGGAACCTGGACAAGGCTTCTGGGAATAAAATGAACTTGATTCTCACCAAAACTCTGGGATGGATAGGCCACTAGAGATCATCTGGCTCAGTAAACCTATTCTTCAGATGGGGAAAATAAAGGCCATAGAGGGGGCAAGAACTGCTCAAGATCACACAGTAGCTAGTCAGAGTCACTGCTAACTGGTCAGACTTTTCACCTTTAAAACTTGGGGGGGTCCTTTTTCTGAAGTTGAGTATAGTATTTAAAAAAATGAGACACTGGCCATTTTCCAGAACAAAGATGCTCTCTTGGGGAGGCCCCTTTTTCTCTCAGAACAGAGAAGCTGGTCTTAACAGTTTTGCCCTGACTGCTGGGAGAGACGGATAACAAAGGTATTGGAAGTTGTGTGGGGGGGTGCATATGGCTGACTCTGGGCGATGGTTGAAAGTAATGGACCTTCCCTTGGAGATCTGTACTCTAGTGGCCTCTACCCGTTACATTCATAATGCTCTGTTCTTCTCCCAGCTCTGGGCTCATCTACTGCTGACAACAGGCTTTGATGGGGTTTTTCCTAGAAGTAGGCTCAGGGCTTACTTGGGAGCTCAACCGCTTGCTCTTAAGACATTAGCAAAGTGTTTACAGACTTTTAAGCCCTTATTCTTCTTCAGCACAAACCCACCCAGTGGCAGCTCACAGCCTTCCTTGCCTGAGCACAGACAGCGGGATCCTATAGTCGGCTGTCTCGCCCAGTGAGCCCTGTTCCTCTCCTTACTCCCATTACCTGTTGCAAGTTCGAGTGGTTATTCAACAGGTGGAGACTTCAGCCCACCTCTCCACCAGTCATCCTCAGAACCCAGAGCCCAGTCTTCCCAACCCTGCCTAACCCTCCTCCCAGGCATGCTTCACCAGACTCCGAGCTGGCCCGGCAGAGCTGCTGGCAAGCTGCCTGAGCTGGGCGATACTGGCCGGCAGTTAGGCGGCCACTTCTTAGGTCCCGGTGTGTGGGGGATCTGGGAGTAAACCAGGTCTCTAAAGAACTCGGGTGCAATCGACCAGCCAGAGGTGTGGGACTGCCCACTTTGTCCTTGAGTCTGCAAAGCCCACCCAGCCTTCTTCAGGCGGCTGCGGAAAGCTGAACAGAGGCATGCTTCCTTCAAAAGCAGCCCATGTTTCTGGAGGAAGCCCCAGCACTTGCTTGGTCCAGTCGCTGGGCTGGTGGAGGGGTTAAGGGAATGGAGGCAGGCGTGGGCTGTTGGCTGGCAGCGGCACTGTGCGGAGGGGTGGGGGTGGGGGGCATCTATTTTAGCCAAGGATCGTGTGATAGGAAGCAGTGACA